GTGTTTTCTGTAGCGATAATAAATCCATTGCCGGCTTGCTAGGCCTGTCGCAACTTCACCAGAGCCCCATTGGCCAGAAGTGGTTTGTCCACTTAGAGAGAATGCCTTGTGACACCATACCATACAAAGCATACATGGAAAGAGAAGAAGGTCGTAGAGCAAGAGGTAGACCAAGAACAAAATGGAAGGATATCATCAGAGAAGCTCTACAACAGCACGATGTGCCTATGGTCGAGGCGGCCAGTAGAGCCAGAAACAGAACCTTATATCTACCTCAACACCCACAGCGGTAAAAGAAAAAGTGAAGAAGAAGAAGAGTAGTGTTTTTATTTAATTCAAGGACTGATTCATTTCATCATTGTATGCAGTGACTATTTACCACAGCATTGTAAGTCACTAGCTCTAATAGACACCTGCACGTTCTTCAGCTCATTGCCAGTTTATCAAACCACATTGGGACTTCATGAATTAAATTATATTGTTCTCAATGGCTTAGAGGATAGTGAAGTTAGTTACACCGAAATCAGCAGCACTTACTGGGGTTTATTTTCTGCGGGATGGTTAGGAAAAATACCTTTTCTTAAGCTTTTGGACATTGGTATCTTGTTGGGGAGGCAGTGGATCTGTTTTTGTTTTGCCCACAATGGGGCCTAGGGAATCCCCCTTCCCCCCCAATCCCTTTCCCCTGGGATGTCTGTAATTTAGTTATAGTTGTGCTTGCCCACATGTTCATGTTGCTCCAAAATTTGCATTGTCCTTGTTTTGCTAGTATTACTATATTTGCTAGGTATTGCTTCCCTTCCCCCTACTCACATTTAGTTATGCGTCCAATTTTATGCTTCATTGACATTTCTCTTTCTTACAGACAATTGTACAAGAAGAAGACACTCAGCCTCTGACAGGTATGGAATAGTTTAAAATAAATAACATGTGTATAGATGGTAGTCTTATCTAATAAAATGTCTATAGATGATAGTTTAATGTAAGTTATAACATGCATCTAGATCAGGCACATCAAACCAAGGCTCCCATGAGGGCCATATAGGTCAAATCTTTTCATCATTAGGGCCACACACACAACACCTAAACATTTAATTAAAATAATCAAGACTATTTCCTTTGTGCTTGCAAAGGACTGCAGGCCATCAGTTTGATATGCTTGGTATAGATGATAGTTTATTACAAGTTATAAAATGTGTAGATGATAGTTTAATGTAAGGTGTAACATGTGTATAGATGATAGTTTAGTGTAAGTTACAGCATGTCTGTAGATAATTGTTAAGTGTTAGTTACAGCATGTGTATAGATGTAAGTTATAGCATTTAGACGATAGTTTAGTGTTAGTTAAAACATGTGTATAGAGGATTTAATATAAGTTGTAAATTGTATCGAAAATGATTATTTAATATGAGTGATTACAAGGGTGGGGATGATAGTTTGATATAAATGATAAAATTGTATGTAAATGATTATTTAAAATGAGTTACTACATGTGTGTGGATGATAGTTTAATATAAATAATACACTAAGCCTAGATGGTAGTTTAATTTAAGTTAAACAATAAACATAGATCATAGTTTAAAATAAGTATACAACTTCAGACTGGCATCGGACCTGTTGACATGCCGTGGGTAGTACGGTAAACATAATGACCACCTTTACGTATTATAAGATTTTTTATATCATTAATGAGAGCCCAGGTGAGTTGTAACAAAAAATCCTTGCCGTGGAAAATATATTTCTTCTTCCTGTTCATCGCTTGTAAACTCTGATAGAAAGTTCTGGTTGTTCATCCATCCCTGGACTTTAGTTTTGTTCAAGAACCTGAGTGTTGTGTACACATTATTTTACAATCTGACTTATTTGTATGCAGACTCCTGGTTCCTTTCCTCTTGGGCTGATGCACTCCGACTTTAAAGGATGCTCCCGATTAGTTGACTCCTTCAGTATGCTTGTTGGGAAGGCAGTGGGTCTGTTTTTGTTTTTCCTCACAATGGGGACCTAAAACCCGCATGGGGAAGAGGGAAGATTGACAGGAAAGTGTGAAGGTCACTCCATGACCATGGCTTCTACTAATCTTTAATGTTAGATATTAATATTTACAATTTTGATGGTGACAGAACATTTTTTATAATTGTTTATTTCCTCATAAAACACATTTTTTTTTTGGTTGGCCTTTCTTGTCACATTTATACATATTTTAACATGTTTGCATTTTTTTCTACCTAGAACCTATCATTGCTCCAATTAAAAAGAAGAAATTCAGCATGGTGGAGCAGGACTTGCCTACAACAACTTACAACATGGAGTTAGTATTTTCTTGTTATGTATATTCATCATTCACATAAACTTTTGTTAAAAAGGCCTTGCTGGTTTTGAGGAGGTCAGGAAAGGCAAAGCTTCCTAGAGATCTCCAGGCCACCACATTGTTATTCATTATTATTGTGGTCTTATATCTATACTTTATGGTTGGTTAAGGCACATGAGGGAGCAGAATATGAACCAGCAATGATTCTCCAAGTCATTCTCCATTGTTGTTCATTATTATTGTGGTCTTTTATCCATATTGTTTGCTTAGTTAAAGCAGATGTGGGAGTAGAATATGAACCAGCAATGTTAGAATCATGGCGTTAAATGTTTGCAGTCATGTCATCTACTTTGTAAGGCTATCCTTAAAGTTCTCATTTATCTCCCCTCCCCCTCCGCCCCTTCTCTCCTACCCACAAGCCAGTAACCAAGGTTTAACTAACGCTAGGCCCCAAGTATGAACAGAGCGTCTGAACAAATAGAGCAGATGCTTACGTTTTTTACCAGGGCTATTCACCTGCCTGTCAGCCAGATTTGGTCTAACAGTGGCCTGCAGATCATTTTCAGTTGTGTGTGGTGTTAACGATCTTTCTAATCTTGACCCTCTGGCCTGTAGTGATCCCCATTTTCTAAACGGTGGTTCCTGCACAAACTTAGTTGAGTAGCCCTGTTTCAGACAGTATGAAACGGAGCCGATATGCTACCTAACAGGTATGTGACACATATGAAGATCTGTCATTTCACATCTCTAGAACATGAGCTGTCTGACAAGGCAGGACCAGAGCATGATATTTAGACTTGAACATACTCAAAATCTTGAATATGGCGTACTGTATACGTTTCCACAAATGGGCTCTGGGGCCTAATTTTTTTGGGGGAAAAGAATAGACCCAATGCCCCCTTAAAAGCATGTTGTAAATGTTTATTAATTAAGAGTTCACAAAAATATGATGTGGGGCCAAGGCACGGTTATCGCAGCCTAGCTGTTAACCACAAGACAGGCTGCCAATGGCCCTATTAAGAATAATTGCAAATGTATAGATTGAATTTGGCGTGAAGTAGATACAAAGTTTTGGAGTTGTCCCGTGAAATGGCACTTTAGTTATTTGTCACAATGGTCTTAAGCCAGACTTGTAAGAAACAGATTGATTAAAATGGTTCTTCATCTGGAGTAAATATTTGTGATTATTCCACAGGTTTTTAGCAGATCTCATGGACTGCCCAAGTCTGATTCGGAATGTTAGTCTTTGTGGGCATCTACACCATGGCAAGGTGAGTTTTGTAATATCCTGAGTCAGTGAAGTGTTTTCCTTGTATAATTGCAGTTTGGTATTTCTTTCTGATGTCTGTGAGGGGGCTGGAGGTCCCAGGTTCAAGCCCGGGTGAAGGCTGTGATTTTTTTATCTGAACTTCTAGTAATTCCCCCCGGTCTCTGGGTAGTAAGATCAGACACCCATGTGTATTTTTGTGCACATAAAAAAAAACCCTTGGCAGTTGGAAATAAAAAAAGGAGTTCAGGATCCTCGCCGGTGCTACAGAGTTTGTGCACTGTGCTCAGATCATGTAACTCAGGTTTAAGTTAAAAGTAGAACAGAGCACTTATGGGTTACTACCCTTGTGTCTTGATGCTGATCCATTGTTTAAATCATATCACATCTGATGTTTGTATTTAACTGATGTCAGTGGAATCTTATTATCTGAGTTTTGACAGTATTTGGATAACTGGTTCAAGAATGTATCACTGAACTCAGAACATTCCCATGTGTGCTCAATCTCCTTTCTCAGCCAGTGAAGAGTCCCTATGCTTAAGTGGCAACCTGAAAAAAAAAATTAAAATGAGCCAATCTTTTCTGTATCTAAGCAGTTTCAGACATAATTATAAGCTGAACTTCATGTTCATTTAGCACTTTTTTTCTAGTATAATCTCCACGATGGGAGTTTTCTGCAGTAGATAAAGGCTTCCACTGCAGTTTTTGGGATTTTATGTGCTGAGGTTCCATGCTTTACCAAGGTTGAATAAAGTAAAGGACCCTTTTCCAAACCTTCAGGTGTATCCGGCATATAGGGCTAGACCTTAATTTTGTAGATCACTTGGCATTTGATGTTGGTGTGGTTAACATCACGCTGGCTGCCTTTATTTCTAGAGACTTTACATAATGCTCAATTAAGGCTGGGTCGACCTAGGAGCCGAGGTAATTTATGAAGAAAGTCCGGCTCCATCGGGACATAAACCCACGACCTTTGGCTCCGCAAGCAAGCGTCTAGCTGCTACACTACGGTGGCTCCCTTCCAAGGTTGAATTTGACACTAAAAGCACATTCAAATTGTAAGATCAAAGCAATAGGCTTGCTGACTGTTGGTGTTGAAACCTGAGTGTGTGTGATGATATTTCACAAATGCTTGCTTACTATTGTCAGCACCTTTTCGGGAGATAATGTTGTATTGTGCTGTAGATGTCATGGGAATCACAGCCCATGGTAACTGACTAGCAATGTCCCACTCGCGTTAACAAATGTAACGAACAAATAATAAATTCTATAATCCTAAAATTCTTGTTGAGACAAATCTTTACTTGTGTATGTATGTATGTGTATGTAAATATATATATATATATATTCATATTCGTAACATTGACCAAGAGTTAGAATTTTGCCTCTGCTAACAGCTAAAATATTGAAAATTATATTTTTCAGACATCATTTGTCGACTGCCTTATTGAGCAAACACATCCAGAAATAGTGGGGGATTACGATTCTGATGTAAGTATATATTGTATTTGTTTCTATATATCTCTATGGATTTTTGCAGCTGTGAGTTTTTCATGGATTATATATTTGTTTCTTATACAACTGGAAGCATGATCAGACATGCCAGGAAACTTATATTTCGTGCTTTATTAAAATACTTCATGGAATTAAAGATTCATAACAGAAGACAGACATTATGGAATAGGTTGGAAGCTTCAGGATCTCTAGGGGCTGCAAACAAAATAATAATAATTTAAGGGCAAATAAAAGAATATAAAATAGAGCAGGATATTCGTAGGGCAGATACTTCTGCTGTGATGTAAGATGTCGAACCAGCATATATTCTATGTTCTAACGCATTCCTTAATTAGGCTAGGAGGCCGATTCATTTCCTTTGTTAAAAAATTATGAAAATTAGCTGGATTACATTTTTATGACGCTAGATAAGTAATCATCATCATTTTGTACTGTTTAGTGTCATATAGGGTTCACAGTCTTTTCTTCCGTTCAGCTATATCCTGTGCAGTTGTTTTAATAACGTGGAGAGTCTGGTCCAGCGCCTTTGGCTTCTGCTATCAAATTTCGCCTGAGTTTTTTTTTTTTAAAAGACATCCTTGCTCTCTCAAGTCAGTCTGTTTCTCACTGAAGTACCTGTTTGATGGTTCTCTGTTTGCCCATGGTGGGCCAAATACATCACTGTCTTCTGTCTTTTAACCGTTGATACCCCTGATTGTCTAGACATTTTTATTTTTTTTTATTTGCCTTTCCTGAATTCCTGACATCTGAGGGATTGACTAGGAGACCTTTTTGGCGGTAAGCTAGTGCACTTACCACCGTGGTCCAGTTGCTTAAAAACATGTAAACCTGCTACAAACCAAAATAGATATACAAATGGAAGACACATGCAAGAGACCATAATAATTTTTCCTATCATTAGCATCGGTCCACAACCACAGTATCGTTCATATAATCAAACTGCTACTGGCACCATCAGAAATAGAGCTGGCTGTCGAAGATTGAAACTGAGTGCTTGAGGGAATGTCCGGATTGCTGTGATATCAGTACTCAACTCAACCCAAATCATCCTGTCCTTTGCCGTAGTTATTTGTCTTTTGCGGTCTTAGATTTTATAGGAGTTAGTAGCCAGCTTTGATGATACGTCTGGTGTAGTGCTGTGTTACTGTTTGCTTCTCACCCTCAGTTCCGCTCACACACAGATGGAAACTGACAAATGAGATGCAATAATAATATCCAAAAAGTACACAAAATATGTCTGACCAAATCATCAACCCATGATTCATTTCTACATTTGCTGGATATGAAGAGAACTGATCTGATAAATAGAGTAGTTGGATAATTATTTTATATTTGACCACATTAAATAAATCAGGCTGCAGATTTTTAAAAATATTACTTCAGATTCTTTGTGCAAGAAAAATTTGTTGCTTTCATTCATTATATGCATGTATCCTTTTTTTTTTTTTTTTTAGATGAGATATGCAGATACACTGTTCACAGAGCAAGAGGTATGTATTCTGCTGGCTGCAAGTATATTATTTGTAGTTTTATTTCCTGACAGTATTACTACGCTGTGGTTGGCTGAACGGTTAAGAATGCTAGATCTCGTCTGGAAGACAAATGTTTGAATCCTTGGTAAGGTCATGGATTTTTTCTGTTGGGGGCAAAAATAAAATTCTAACCTGCTGTCCATGGCTTCAGTTCTAGCCATTTTACCTGAAATCCATCAGATCAGAGACCCTATGCTGCTCTGCACGGCACACGATGATGATTATTTATTGTGTTCATTTATATTGTCTGATTTCATTTTACTCCAGAAATCACTGGGTATAATATAGTCAGCTACATGAACGGTTCTAGGTCCTTTAGTTTGATTTAACTTATGATCTCTGACCATTAGTGCTGATATCTTAGTCACATTGGCGGCTATGTATTATTTATATAACGACTGCTGGCATTCTAGATTAAGTGCTTGTCTATAAATGGGGAGAAAACAAATGCTGAGGCTTTGGCAGCTGCAGGAGTTTCAGTATCATGCTTCAGAACCATTAGAAAGGGACAAGTAAAATGTAAGAGGCATGTGGCTGGAGGAGAGACAGCCACCATACGTGGAAAAATATTAACCAAGAGAGGTAGAGGAAGAAAAGAATAAATGTCTGTCGAATGCTTAAATAGCTCAACAACAGATAATCAATAACACTTAGTTTATTAAAGCCTAGTAGGGTATTTTATGTATTGGGGCAGGAGTTTGTGAGTTTCTTTTGCTGGCTGTTGGCAGCATGGTATCATTCTCTTGAGATACACTCCTCGGGCTGTGTCAGGGGCCCATAATGTGTTGAGGAATGGGAGACTTGTAAACTACCCACATCAGTAGGCAGGAATGTCTGCCAAATGAAGGCTCATTTTATGATTGATTCTAACAGTGTCTGTGTAACACATCCTTATGTTAGCTATGACCTGTGTCAGCGAAGAAGACTCAAACATTAGATTGCAGTTATTGTCTGACATAATTACCTGTGTCTAGTCAGATGCATTCTTACAGTTACAATGGATTAAAATAAAGACAATAAATGAATCAAAACTAAAACACAAAATGGACTACATTCAAAAGTAGCTGTCTGTTTCAATAGGGCATATGCAGGTGAATGACCATTTCTTTTTGACAGCATAATTGGTCTGATGAAACAGGCGGTTAATTTTTGAAGGTGGTCTCCCCATTATGGGGAAAAAAAAGAATAGACTCACTGACCTCTAACAGGCACGTTCTAAGAGTGGGCTAATAAGTATGTTTCCTTCAGAGTTGGAGAACATCTGCCTCAAACTAGGAACACTGTCTGCATAAAAATAAGCCAGATCTAACAATTATGCATGCAAACTCAAGTTCTGCAACAAGATCAAAGTTCTGAAGTGGATGAACAACAGAACATTCTGTCGGACTTTATGCCGATGAACGCGAAGAGGAAGAATGTAGTCAGTTTTGTTCATCAGTTAGAAGGATTCATGTATTTGCCTCATTTTAATCAGTTGTTACTATCAGGCAATAAATTTTGCAGTCTGTTTGTATTTTGTTTCTTTATTCAGATTCACAATGGGGAAACATTGCTTTGATTTTCTCTTTGACCTGTTTATTACAGAGAGGTGTGAGTATCAAATCCACTCCCGTCACACTGGTTCTGCCTGACACCAAGAACAAGTCTTTCCTACTGAGCATCATGGATACACCGGGTAAATAACTTTCACTTTGTAGCTAGAAGAGCTTTCTAGGGGGCAACTGCACTGTGTAGTTGTTTTTTCAAATAAAAGGGTTATGGGTGAATTTTTTTAGGAGACCACTTGTCTAGACTGTTGTGGCTAATGGAATGGCTAGCACATAATATAAAAGCAGTTATAACCTAACATAACAGCAGTCTTTATATAATAGCACTATGTAGGGGAAAGAATTTAAGATTGTGTAGTTCCTTGCTACAGCTTCCAATGCTAAACTCAGATAGATATCTAGGTTGTCCTTTCATCTTATTGTTCCCGCCCTCAGTCTTATACTTTGAGTTTGTATGAGTATATATATGTATGTATGTATGTATGTATGTATGTATGTATGTATGTATGTATGTATGTATGTATGTATGTATATGTATATATATATATATATATATATATATGTGTGTGTGTGTATATATATATATATATATATATATATATATATATATGTGTGTGTGTGTGTGTATATATATATATATATATATATATATATATATATATATATATATATATATATATATATATATATATATATATATATATATATGTGTGTGTGTGTGTGTATATATAAATTAAAGCAGTTCTGAGCAAGTCTAATTAGGTACCAGTTGGTCAGAGACAAGTGTATTTCTTCTAATCGTTCAGCAGCTGTAAACTCTGGTGCAAAGTTCTGGTTGTTTGTCCACTTATGGTCTTGTTCCAGACCTTGAGATTTGCATGTACATCTGTTTTACAGACCTGGCTTATTTGTAAGCAGACTATTGGTTCCTTGTCTCTCAGGCGGATATACTCTGACTTCAAAGAAAACACCTAATTAGTTGTTTTTTAAGACATGTTTGTTAAGGAGCAGTGGGTCTGTTCTGTTTACACACACACACACCCCTTCCCACCCCTTTCCTCCACATGGGTCCCAGAACCACACGTTGAAGCTGGTGTTTCAAATGATCGTTTATTAACCATTTGGTTTTCGTTATTGCAGGACATGTGAATTTCTCTGATGAAGTGACAGCTGCGTTCAGACTAAGTGATGGTGTTGTTATCTTTGTTGATGCTGCAGAAGGTGTAAGTATTTTTGTTATAACCAGAAAAATAATAAACAGTCTTCTCCGTATGGGTTTCCCATTGTGGGGAAAACAAGAATAGACCCTCTGCTGCCTTCCCAAAAGCATGTCGTAGGAGTCAGTTAACTGGGAGTTTCCTTCAAAGTCAGAGTGCCTCTGCCTGAGAGACAAGGAACCAACAGTCTGCATACAAATAATAATCCAGATCTGATAAATGAATGTACAAGCAAACTCAGGTTCTGGAACAAGGCTAAAGTCCTGAGGTGGACGAATAACCAGAACTTTCCGCCGGAGTTTACGGCCGGTGAATGCGAAGAAAAAAAAGAATATACAATCTTAAATAGTTGACACACTGGTATCGACAAGTATTGAGTTATAGAACATCGTGAATCATGTAAATAGTCACTGGACAGAATTATGAGTTGATGTTTTTCAAGAAGGGAAAGGCGTCTGGGGTATCAGAAAGCAATACATTGGAAGAAATTAAAGACTTGGAATTTTTTTATGTTGAAATAATACTTAAAAATTACACATATAATGGTGGGTAAAGTTCTTAACGATCTGTTAAAATCCTTATTTATAGTGTTGCCAAGGAAACCGCATGCTTCATTATACAGGATTATCATGATAATACAGCAAAGCTGAGGGGTGTTATGCTGATGACACCGACTTGGTAGCAGCAGATTAGAAGGAACTACAGAAAATCATTTATAAAAAGAGTGGAAAAAATGGGCTTTTAATTAAGCAGAATTAATATTACTAACCGATTATGCCTCAGTAGTTGGCGTCTGTGACTTAGGCATTAGAAACACCCTTCGAAATGCCAGGGTGCTGGGTTCGATCTCAGCAGCGGGTCTTGCACCTTGTGTTGGTTTCCACGGTGGTATCGAAAAACTGACCATCCACAAAGCAATGGCAAACTACTGGGTGTAAATTTGCCTAGAAAAACCACAACAACCAGAAAATGCTGGGGTTGGTTCTGCAACATCCTGTTGAGGATATGCAACTAACCTGTATGCCTCAGTGTGAAATTAAAGTCATCTTTGTTTTTTTTAGTAATAATTGTGTGTGTTAATTAGTCAACAAATTACCCTTATTGCACATCAGACCATTCGATCCATTTGTGCTCAGATCGCTTCCTCACTAAATTCTGCAGCTGATGACACCAGTTGTGTGTTGGTTTCTTATTCTTTTTTGGCTTGCTGCATAGTGCTCTTTTCTTACCACACCCTTTTAACAAGTTGATTTTGCAGTTTGTTTATCGTTGCAGAATCAAAGTCATCACTTGCTTCTTGCTAAGGTCTTCTCATAAAGCATCTGGAATGTCAGCCTGGCCCATGGCTCTTCCACACTCCATAGTAGCTTGACCTGCAAGCCTATCAGCTTGCTTATTCCTTGCACACCTGCATGCCCTGGCACAAATATGAAACTGATATTTGTCAGCCCCGACTGCTTCAGAGACTCCAACCATTGTCTTCGGACCCAGGCCATCTCTTGTCTTCCTGAGCATACTCATTGAGTCACTAAGAAGGCATGTGTTGTTGAAAGTCTGTGTCTCTAGCTATGCTGTTGCATTGATCACTGCAGTGACCTCCTAGTCGGACTACTTGTGGTCAAGGCAGCAGCTCCAGAATCTTGCTTCACAATTCTAACTCCAATCTGAGTCGTAAAAGCCTGTAAGTTTTTTCACATGGCGACCACGGACCCATCTGTGTAAATGTAGAGAATTGTAGAAGATTCTTAAAGATCAAAGCTTGCACTTGTGCCTCCACAGCAGCGGTACAAATGTTACTGAGATAAAGAGAGCATAATAGAAAAAGCAAAAACTGAATTTAACAAAATGAAGATCATCTTATGAAACAAGGCAGTTTATCATTCAGGTATTTACAGCACTGATAGCTTTATTTTTAGTGTGCTGTTTAGAGATTGAATAAATTATTAACTTTTTTGTTTCCCTCTCTCTTGCACACACACCACACATCATATGTGTGTTCATACACTTCTGTCATTCTACATCTGTGTATTTCCACACTCCTCTCTCCCTCCAGTTCAAGCCCTGTCCTAGACTGAAATGTAGAATGTTTATTGAAAAGTGCAAACCAGTATTTTACCTGTCTCATGAAAACGTTTGCTGCCTCTGAACTCTTCGTAGATGATGCTGAACACTGAACGTCTGATCAAGCATGCCATGCAAGAGAAGCTTGCCGTTACCGTGTGTATCAACAAAATTGACAGATTGATGCTGGAGTTGAAGCTTCCACCAGCGGATGCCTACTTCAAGCTGAAGCAGATCGTTGACGAAGTCAACTCCATTATCAGGTTTGTCTTGGAGGTTTATTTGGGAGCAATTCAATTCAGTTTTGACCATGACCATCTTTGACCTAAGGTCAGAGAGGGTTGCTGACTCTCCGTCTTTTACAGTTATATTTGTGGTGACGTATCAAGCTGTTGTCTGATCAGGTTTTTTTTTTGTTTCCTGATTTCTGCGAATTGACAGGTAAGTTTTTTTCCTAGGGGTGGTTTTTCATTGTCTGTTCTGCTGACTTCATACCTGGCTAGTCTTGCGCTCTTGGGGGGTTTGTTAGGGTTTGGTGAGTTGGCCGATCTGCTTTTTATGTAGTTTTGGTTGTTCCGATAGGCAGCCTGGCTGGTCTCTTGCTGGTGGGTTCTTGTTTGTGCTTTTTTTTCTGGGAGCAATCATGACATTTCTTTTGTAATGCTTTCTCCAGAAATATGACAAATGTTAGGATCTTTCCAGATGATTCCATTGGGCTTTCTCAGCTTGTGGTAATGGCAAGTTTGACTTGCAATTTTTTTTGGGGACAAGCAAGACCCACTCATGTTAAGACCAGTTGAAGGCAGGGTGAAGTTCCTCCTTTCTGCAAAGCATAGTCAGTATTACAGAATCCCTGTTTCCCCTGCAACATGTTCCCTCACTTGGTCTGCTTTGTCCTGTCCATTTGTAATTTTTGTCCTTGCATCTTCGCAGGCAAGACAGATGGCTGTATTAATAATGTTTTTCTCTATTATTTTTTTTGGGCAATACGTGTTAGGACAACCCTATCATGTCCATTGATTTACATTATCTTTTTTTTCCTGCATGTACGCATGCCGACAGCTTGTCCCAGAGGCTTTAGAAGGGAGAGAAAAAAAAAGATATTATAAACTACCCCGATCTAATGAATACCTTTTCTCTGACTTATGATCTTTGCATCTTACAACCATCCACACAGACGACCACACAAATAAAATAAATAAAAATAGTCAATACTGAAAGATAACTACATTGGTTGGGTCACAAAGTTTCAGGAACTGAGGCAATTTTATTTGAATTATCTGAAAAAAAAATAGTCTTAAAAAATATACAGCCTCTTAGTCAGAAGGGAACTCAGTTGTAAGTCGAGAAGACCTGTATTTGGTATAAATCTTGTGCTCTGCACCACATTATATCAGCTTGTTAGAATAATGTTTGTACATGTTTGTAATATGTCATATGTTTATCATGCAGCCTGTATGCTGAAGATGATCCCAATCAGATGGTATCTCCTCTACTGGGCAACGTCTGCTTTGCCAGCTCTTACTACAGATTCTGCTTCACACTAAAATCTTTTGCCAGGATCTATTCTGATACCTATGGTGAGTTTTTTACCTCTTATAATCTGATTGTCGTTACAGTTGTCTTGAATTTACTAGCGAGATGTCTGTACCATCACTGGTTTGTTAGATGCCTGTACCATTACTGGTGTGTGAGATGTCTGTACCATTACTGGTGTGTGAGATGCCTGTACCATTACTGGTGTGTGAGGTGTCTGTACCATTACTGGTGTGTGAGGTGTCTGTACCATTACTGGTGTGTGAGATGTCTGTACCGTTGCTGGTGTGTGAGATGTGTTGTACCATTGCTGGTGTGTGAGATGTCTGTACCGTTGCTGGTGTGTGAGATGTGCTGTACCGTTGCTGGTGTGTGAGATGTGTTGTACCATTACTGGTGTGTGAGATGTCTGTACCGTTGCTGGTGTGTGAGATATGTTGTACCATTACTGGTGTGTGAGATGTGTTGTACCATTACTGGTGTGTGAGATGTCTGTACCGTTGCTGGTGTGTGAGATGTGTTGTACCATTACTGGTGTGTGAGATGTCTGTCCCGTTGCTGGTGTGTAAGATATGTTGTACCATTACTGGTGTGTGAGATGTCTGTACCGTTGCTGGTGTGTTTTATGATTTGTGTGATATTAAATTTGTGATTTATGTGATTTTTCTCTGCAGACAGCTGGCCATATTGAATAAAACTCAGTGCATTTAAGTTAATACTGTAAACTAAAACATGTTATAAATTAAAGTGCAGTGTTTTTTCTGTTCAAATTGAGACTGAGTGCTGTTACTCTATAAATTTGGTGATTTACTGCTTTTATAGGAATTTGTGTTTATATAATTGTTTTAATTAATATCTGACATGTTGATTTAATTTTGAACAGCGTGAGAAAAACCATTTTGTATTGCTTATAGATGTTTTGATATATATGAGGACCATGATGAAAGTAATGCCTCCCTCCCTCAAACTGGAAAATATAAAACATTCAGTGTAATAAAACTCATTATGTTTACACATCCTTTTTTTTTCTATATTATCTTTGTTTTTTTTTATATGTCCTTACCGCAGTGCGAAACATGAACATGTACACATGCCTTGCCTGTATCAGGTTGTGTACTGTTCATTGAACTGTTTCTTCACTACACGAATAACATCTTCAGGTCTGTCCCTCTACTGCCGCGGTTCTCAACCTGTGGGTTGTGACCCTTTTTTAGGGATGAGGTATTTGAGTCTGAGGCTTTAGAGCCTCATGGCTAGTGGCTGTCACCATGAACTGCACAGGTTAAGATTTGATTTTATGCCCCTGACTGGAAAAAAAATCCCCCACCTTACAGGGGATCCAGGCTATAATGAGATAAAAAAAACTGCTTAGTGATAGTAAATTTGACATTTGTTATGCTATAGGTAACTGAAATCTTTCTGTATTAATTAAAACAGAGGGAATCAACGAGAAAGAATTTGCAAGAAGATTATGGGGTGATTTGTACTTTAATAGCAAAACGTAAGTACTGGCACTTTTATTCTTCATGTTATTAATTATTGTAGCACTTCATGAACCTGAATATGTTTAAAGAAAGCAGTGAATAATCTGAGACTGTTGATGTCTCTATTTAATGTGTCCTCATTTGGAGATACTGTCATTATTGTGTTCTTTAGCATTCTGAGCTACTAAGGTTCACTGCTGAAGGAAATCTGTCCCCATATACGTATAAGATTGGCCTTCTGTGCCCAGTTGATGACTCCAAGTGTCTGTACGCCTGCATGCATGCACACACTCACTCCCACTCACCCATACTCTCTCTCTCTCACACACACACACTGCACATCTGTTTTACTGATCTGGCTTATTTGTATGCAAATTGTTGGTTCATGGCATTTCAGGCTGATGCATTTTGACTTCGAAGGGAACACCCGTAATAAGTCGACTTTTACAACATGCTTGTGTGGGGGAGGGGGGGGGGTGCCCCTGTTCTTGTTTCCCCAAAATGAGGCCAAAACCCACACAGGGAATTCTTTTTCATTATTACTCTTATACTTAGCCTTCTTTCTACCAGCCATCATCATCCTGTTCCGCTGTTATACAATTCTGTTGGGCATGCGGTGTGTTTTTAGATTCCATTCTGTCCTGTGCATATTTTTTCAATATCATGGATGGAATCCAGGCCAGTAGCTTTAACCTCTCTCATCAATGTTCGTATAGTTTCTCTTGGGCTCATCATTTCCTCAATCCATTTGTCCTTTAATAGCACTCATGCTGTTAACGGTTGTAATAATTATATTTCTTCTGTCTATAATTTCTTTGCAGGAGAAAGTTTTCCAAGAAGCCTCCCACCTCGTCATCAGCAAGAAGCTTTGTGGAGTTTATTCTAGAGCCACTGTACAAAATATTTGCACAGGTGAGTTTCTTGAATGGGTGTACACTGTACTTGAATGGGTGTACACTGTACTTGAATGGGTGTACACTACTTGAATGGGTGTACACTGTACTTGAATGGGTGTACACTGTACTTGAATGGGTGTACACTACTTGAATGGGTGTACACTACTTGAATGGGTGTACACTGTACTTGAATGGGTGTACACTGTACTTGAATGGGTGTACACTGTACTTGAATGGGTGTACACTACTTGAATGGGTGTACACTGTACTTGAATGGGTTAACCCTGCAAGTGTGAGCACTTGCACGTATGTTCACTGTTTGTGAATTACTAATGTGCATCTTAGATAGTCTTAGTTTGTGAACTAGACCGTGGCAGTGCGGACTCTGCAGCCACATGTTACAGGAAATTCAAAATTTGGGATTTTTACCTATGTGGATATGCAGTCCAGAGTATTAAACATGTTCTTTTTGCGTGCAGGGGAGAGATCCCAGGTCTTGCAAGTTGGCCTTCCAGTGGAAACCAAACTGTATTGATTAATGGAAGATGTGCTTGCAGTGCAGTCTCCATAGAGGTCTTTGGTCTTTTCATCAGAAAACTACTGCCTGGAAGAACGAAAAGATCATCTTAGAAATACTAGAAGATGCAGTTAGTTGTTTGAGAGAGAGAGAGGGGAAGGGGGAAAGTGAGATAGTTTCAATTACCAGTTTTTTTGTGTGTATCTTACTTAAGGACATTGTGATGCAATAATAATTACGTTAACAAATATACACACTTTTTATGTTGTGTGGTGTATTAGGTATACAGTACTAGTTAGACCCATGTATGGAAACTAATCAATACCTGTTGGATCATGTAGTCTGTCTGATCCATTTATAATTTTTGTAACTATCCAGAAAGTTTTAAGTTACTTTAAAATTAATCAGGTTAACCACAGTATCATTAACCGTAAAAGTCCCAGAGCCAGGGCTTTATAAATACTTCAGAGCCATATATCGTGTAAAACCATAGAATAGTGTGACTAGTAAAACTTTAGAGCCATGGGGTGAGTAAAACTTTAGAGCCATGTGGGGAGTAAAACTTTAGAGCCGTGTGGGGAGTAAAACTAAGAGCCATGTGGGGAGTAAAACTTTAGAGCCGTGTGGGGAGTAAAACTAAGAGCCATGTGGTGAGTAAAACTAAGAGCCATGTAGTGAGTAAAACTTTAGAGCCATGTGGTATATAAAAACTTCAGTCATATGATAACAAAAACTGCGGTGTCTTGTGGTAGGAAAAACATCATTGCTCGATAGTAATTTCAGTTCATACTTCCAGACCATAAGGGAAAAGCACCATTCGCTGCATCAACATGGCCTTTGATGATTTTTTTTTCTTTAGCATGTACAACACAAGTATAGATGTGTCACCAGCCTTCTTCTTCGTCTTCGCATTCACAACTGTAAACTCCTGCGGAAAATTCTGGATCTTCATCCACTTCTTTACTTTCATCTTGTTTCAGAACCCAAGATTTGCATGCACATCCGTTTTACAGTTTTTTTTCTGTCCAGGTTGTTGGTTCCTTGCCTCTTTAGTTATGTAAATGCATTCCAACTTGTAAGGAAATATACCCAAATTAATAGATTCTTGCGACATGCTTTTTTAGGGGGCAGGGGTCTGTTTTTTTCTTTTTCAACCGCTACAAATAGGACCTCAAAACTTACACAGGGGTCTCACCACTCAAATGTGAATGCTGCTTCTGTGATAATATAATGTACGTATTCTGTCCCAGATTGTTGGTGATGTTGATGAGAGTCTGCCCCGAGTTTGTGATGAACTTGGAATCCATCTGTCCAAGGAGGAACAGAAGCTCAATATCAGACCTTTATTAAGGCTGGTATGCCGGCGCTTCTTTGGAGACTTTACAGGTACTGTTCCTTCAGTGCTACCTGTTTTTTTCATGTTTCTTTTGTAAGTTTTGTTGAGTATTGTTTTGTATTCTGACATTCTGTCATTGAGCTTTCATGCAGCTACCCTTCTAGGAAGTTTGATTTCCATGGTTTGTAGTTTATTTGTATTTATTTCAGTGATCTTTATTTTTTTTTTTTGACTTCTGTAGATTTTCTGGTGTCTTTTTTGTTTGTTGTTGTAGATCTCTAACTATCATAATGAGACACTGTTTTTTTTTTCTGTTTTGCTGCAGCTCATGGAAAAATGATTCGTAACTACACACACACACACGCATGTACATACTCTTTGAGTTATTAAGCTTAGATATGACTGAGCTATTATATAACAATAGTACCTGTTCTCAGTTAACACCAAATGTTAGGCCAAACTTGGCATCTCACATTGGGCCATCAGCATCTGGTAGAGGAGCACACTGGAGGGGACACAAGCCTTATCCTGGGAAGAAGAATGTACCTGAAAACTTATGGTAGGGCAAACCAGGCACTTAGTCCTGGCTTGAAGCTGGTCTAAGAGGATAACTCAACAGGTGAACATAGGACTACTGTTATGATCTGGCAGCTGCTGCATTCTGCAGCATGCTTTGTTCCAAATGTTTTAGTGTTACCTTTCTATTGGAGTAATCAAGAGGGATCATGCTACCTGGGCGGGCAACACATAGTCTGTGCAATAGTGCCCAGCCTTTGTGCTGAAGATTGAAGAGACTTTTCTCTTTCCTGTAGCACAATACAATATTTTCTGGAGGTATGAAAAATTGCCAGCTTAATTCACCTATATTTTATCTATGTTCCTGCCTAAATAAGTGTATGTTTCTACTCTTGAAGTAGAAGACTTTTTGTTTGTTGTATTGTGAAGCTCCTTGATATACTTTTCGTTTGGTTATATATCTTATCCTTAAAATTAGGTTTTATTAAGTGTGTTAGGCTATTTCAACCTATGGCTTTAGAGAGAATGAGTTGAAGTAGCGGCTGCCCAGTATTAAAAAAGTTGAATGTAGCCTTGTTAAATTCTAAAACTTCTATGAGCAGTCTTCATTTTGTTGGAAAAGAGTATTTGTTACATGTTGGTTATAATTTGTGTGCAGGTTTTGTGGACATGTGTGTGGATCATATCCCATCACCTGTGGATAATGCCAGAAAGAAAGTTGAACACATCTACACCGGGCCTATGGATTCAGATCTGGCAGAGGAGATGGTTTTGTGTGAAGCAGAGGTATGTAGGAATTTTCCTTATTGTCTTTGTTTTGCATGCAAAGTCGATTTTTTTTTTCATAATTACCTTAAACTATTAACAAATGCATTTTTTTTTAGCTTTGTCCTGAAAACTCAACAAGGGTTAAGCATTCTGAAAACCATTGAAGAGCCAGCTGACACCGGAGGGGACGTACAGAACACATCACATCCTTAAACACATCACAATGGCCTTAATTTTCTCACGCCTGTGACCAAAATCACCATGCTCCAGTACTTCTTCATGTTCACTGACTGTAAACTGCAAAGGACAGTTCTTCCAAAAAAGATGGTGCCTCTTTCTGATGTTAAAATGGAAACATTTTGGTTCCAGGTCTTAGCCTCTCAAACAGCTAATGATTCACACACACTCTCTATCCAGTTGGCGAAGGAAACCTTTTTTTATGTGTAAATAAACTGTCCTCACTGCCTGTTTTTACCGCTTTTAGTCGTCTAGGATATGGCTAGTGCAGTCACTACGAATTGTGTAGAGTAGAATTTTTATTTTGCAACACACAAAAATCTAAATTTCCTGAATGGGATTCAGCCTAGATTCCACTTGATATCCCAGCATTATAACCTTTTGTCTCCTGGGTTCCACTTGATATCCCAGCATTCTAACCTTTTGTCTCCTGGGTTCCACTTGATATCCCAGCATTCTAACCTTTTGTCTCCTGGGTTCCACTTGATATCCCAGCATTCTAACCTTTTGTCTCCTGGGTTCCACTTGATAGCCCAGCTTTCCAACCCTTTGGCTCCTGGGTTCCACTTGATAGCTCAGCATTCTAACACTTGATATCCCAGCATTCTAACCTTTTGTCTCCTGGGTTCCACTTGATATCCCAGCATTCTAACCTTTTGTCTCCTGGGTTCCACTTGATAGCCCAGCATTCCAACCCTTTGGCTCCTGGGTTCCACTTGATAGCTCAGCATTCTAACCTTTTGTCTCCTGGGTTCCACTTGATATCCCAGCATTCTAACCTTTTGTCTCCTGGGTTCCACTTGATAGCCCAGCATTCTAACCTTTTGTCTCCTGGGTTCCACTTGATATCCCAGCATTCTAACCTTTTGTCTCCTGGGTTCCACTTGATAGCCCAGCATTCTAACCTTTTGTCTCCTGGGTTCCACTTGATAGCCCAGCATTCTAACCTTTTGTCTCCTGGGTTCCACTTGATAGCCCAGCATTCTAACCTTTTGTCTCCTGGGTTCCACTTGATAGCCCAGCATTCTAACTGTTGTCTCCTGGGTTCCAGATGCCCAGCATTGTCTCCTGGGTTCCACTTGATAGCCCACATTCTAACCTTTTGTCTCACACTTGATAGCCCAGCTTCTAACCAAATGATAGCCCAGCATGGAACCTTTTGTTCCTCCATGATGTTCTAACCTTTTGTCTCCTGGGTTCCATGATAGCGGCATTCTAACCTTTTGTCTGGGTTCCACTTGATAGCCCAGCATTCTAACCTTTTGTCTCCTGGGTTCCACTTGATAGCCCAGCATTCTAACCTTTTGGCCAACTGCTCATCAGTTTCACACACCTTCTTCTTTTTCTTCACCACGTCCTCTTCAACCATTGGGGTATCAGGAACAGATATTGGGTTTTGCTGTTTCTTTGTTCTTCAGGTCGCCTTGACCAGCGATACATCATGCTGTTGTAGAATTTCTCTGATGTTATCTTTCCATTTAATTTATTCCTGTGCTGCTTAACTTATCTTTTTGTCTGCTTTGAGGTTTTCTCTCTAAGGGGCAAAAATTTGATTTGCTGAAGCATGTAGATTCCCTAATACCTTTCATTTTCTTTTATTTGGAATGCTGAAAAACAGACTTAGGTCCAATTATTAAAGTTGATTGTCTTTTCCAGGGCCCACTGATGATTTAACAAAGCTCTACCCAAATGAAGATGGAACTAGTTTCCATGTGTTTTGGTCGGGTTATGGGTCACAGCCAACCAGAGTGCGTAATAGAGAAAAAAGAAGGAGACTCCAGCTAGGCTTACATCTGTTTGAGCATATATAGTGATCATTATACTTTGTCTTGACAGTTACATGACCCCTACCTTTCATTTTTAGGGAATCGAAAAAAAAACTGGTAAAACAGCTGTGGCCACACAGAGAAAAAGTATATCAAAGACTTTCTATCTTTGAGCATATAAAACAATTTTTTCCATACAAAAACAGGAAAAATATATCATCAGTCTTTCTATAAATAAAACAATTTTTTTCATAACAAAAATATATCATCAGACTTTCTATAAATAAAACCATTTTTTCATTAAAAAATATACCATCAGACTTTCTATAAATAAAACAATTTTTTTCATAACAAAATTCATCATCAGGCTTTTTATAAATAAGCCATTTTTCTCATTAAAAAAATGCACGCACGCTCACACACACACATACACACACACGGGGGGAGTGGGGGGGTTGGACTGGACATCTAAATTTTGATTATTAAACTTGGTTAGACATGTGGTTAATCTTAAAGTTTAGACTTCAGTTGGTGAGTTGTACAGTGTAACAAGAGACAATATGATTTATGCATTTCACTTGAAAGAATTAATTTTGTACTTCAAAATACTAGGGGCTTCAAATGAAAAACCTTAAAATCGCGATAGAAATTGCAACCGGCGCTAGGGTCACTACTTGGTGTCCCTGACCCGGTCTTGAACAGTCTCACACAAGTCATGCTGTTTTGAAATATACTACTCCACTTATACACTTACTGGACTAACAGGCATAGATCACCAAACATGATGTTCAATTTTTTTTTACCCCTTCACTGATCAAAAATGGATTAACAAAAACTGCTTCTCTTTTGTACATGTCTTCTTCTTTGTTCATCGACTGTAAGCTCTGGCGGAAAGTCCTTGTAATTCATCCATTTGGACTTTTTCCAAGACATTAGTTTTTGCTTGTACATCTGTTTTACCGGTATATTTGTGTGCAGTTGGTGTTCCTTGCTGCTTGGGCAGATGTGCTCTGATATTAAAAGAAACTCCCAGTTAGTCGGCTCTTGTTGGGTAGGCAGGGGATATATTCTTGCCCTCCCCCCAGAACCCACACAGGGATGGTACATGTCAAAAGTGGTGTGGTCAGTTTAACTGTCGTTATGATGTCATCGTGTTCATACAGACCCTGATGTCAATTGCATAAGACTATAAAATCCTTAGTAACAGTATTGACAGGTTACACGGTTATTGCAGTTCTCATCACACTTTTAAGGTTTTCATTTGAAACCCCTTCATATGTTTGCATACGTTCTGTAATAATGCACACAGCAAGATACAGCAGAATATGTCAGGTAGTAAATACACAGTATGTTATTTTTGCTTTCATTATTTATGCGTATTGAGTAAGAGTGGTCCCGTACAAAAATTATACTCTCATAGAGTTCACATGACCTGAAAGTCGTCGCACATAAAATGAAAAACTAACTGTCTTCCAGTGTTCACAGTCAGTTTACTTAACAGCAACTTGTTCTTCTGCCTTTGTGTGAATTAGGTACAGAATTGAAGTGAATCGAGTGTCTAGTGGGAACTGGATTCTCATCGAAGGTGTTGACCAGCCCATAGTGAAGACATCCACCATCATTGATGTGTCCGGACATGAGGAGGTAACATTGCAAGAGTTATCTGTCTTGAACATACTTTATTTATTTGTTTTATTTATTTGCTTTGCAGTTCAACAGAGTTAGCAGTCTAGTAAATGACACTGCTTTGTCTAGTCTGAGAAGGGAGGTGGGGGCAGTTACAGTGGCTTTCCGGTAGCTTGAGAACCAGCTGTACACACATGTTGTGATTGTAACCAACCCACAAACCATGTTAAGAAAGGTGGAGAGAGGTAAGGTCCATGCAGAGTGGCAAGCATCGCTTAGGAGATTCTGGGTGGTTAGCATTATTTGAATATTTTTTTGGGGTCATGCAGGAGTGTTAGGAAATGAACAGCAGACCGGATCCGCACCAGTGGGTGGTGGATTGATACATGCCAAACTAGATGTTGTCAAGACCCTGTGGGTGCTTGTAAGCAATGCAGAGGCAGGAATTGATCATTACAATCTAGAGAGAATGCTACAGCTGGAAGTGGCTGGGAGTTCTAGTTGACACTACACTCAAAGAAGAGACAAGATGGACATATAATCAAACTGCTACAGGCATCTTCAGCCCTGGAACTCTTCGCAGGCTGCTGAAGATGAGGACAGAACGCTTATGGTAATGTCCTGAGTGCTGTGATATCACTTCTATCTCAACAGTCAACAACACTCACAACTGTACAGTTTAGTATGCAGATTTATTAAACACTTTATTTTATACATTTATGTTACAGACTGTTGTAAATATTTGATTAGTTTATTGCATATATTGTTTGAGTTTGCTATGTACATTTGTTTTACAGTCTACTGAGTACATTTGTTTAATTTGTTGTGTAAATTGGGTGTATAGTTTTCACACCATACAACATTTTGGCTATATGGTGCTGTCTCAAAATCTTTTTATATACCTATTGGCACTTGATGGGTAATGGTCAGTACCATGCCTGCCACCTTCTCACAATATTGCTTGGTGCCCATTTGAGGAATGGGTCAGGAGTCCAGGTTAGTTGTGAAAAATCCTTGCCTTAGTGAGGACTAGAACTCATGACCACAAAGATGGTAGGCCACCATGCTGGTCATTGCACTAAGTTTACCACCACCACCACAAATTATTAAGTAAAGTATAGTGACAATCTCTTTTCACGCTTGTAGGCGCATTGGGCATATGGAAAGAGCATCCCCTATTTTTACAGACCAATTGGCACTAGGTGGGAAATGTGGTCAGCCATGGGTCTTTGAGCCTGAAGATTCAGGGCTGCATGGCAGTGGGTCTCGGATAGAAAATATTGATGACCTTAGTGAGGATTCAGATCTAGGTTTTCCATAGGAGATCATAATGTTCTTAACCATTTGACCAGTCACTCCATACCAAATGATTCTTGTTCTGATTAATCACAATAACAAACAAACAAGAGTTTTTTTTTAGTAGTAAATTTGTAAGATATAATAACAAATACATCTGATGTTTCTCTTGATATATGGGGTTTGCTTTCTGTTTATTTCTAAGGTGTACATCTTCCGTCCATTAAAATTCAACACAGCATCAGTGATAAAAATTGCTGTAGAGCCGGTAAACCCTTCAGAACTGCCCAAAATGTTGGATGGTTTGCGCAAGGTCAATAAAAGTTATCCTCTGTTAAGCACAAAAGTAAGTCAGACCTACTGTGTCATTTTGTTTGGTTAAGATTTTGTGAGACAGGGTGATTTGTGTGTAGATTTACTGAACATTTTCACAGATGTAAGACATAGAGATCGCTCCATCTAGTATCATTGCACCTCAGTGTGTAGTATTCTCCAGTGTCATTACACAGGTACTCTCCTGTGTCATTACACAGGTCCTCCCCAGTGTCATTACACAGGTCATCTCCAGTGTCATTACACAGGTCCTCCCCAGTGTCATTACACAGGTTCTCTCCAGTGTCATTACACAGGTCCTCCCCAGTGTCATTACACAGGTTCTCTCCAGTGTCATTACACAGGTCCTCCCCAGTGTCATTACACAGGTTCTCTCCTGTGTCATTACACAGGTCTTCCCGTGTCATTACACAGGTCATCTCCTGTGTCATTACACAGGTCCTCCCCAGTGTCATTACACAGGTCATCTCCAGTGTCATTACACAGGTCCTCCCCAGTGTCATTACACAGGTTCTCTCCAGTGTCATTACACAGGTCCTCCCCAGTGTCATTACACAGGTTCTCTCCTGTGTCATTACACAGGTTCTCTCCTGTGTCATTACACAGGTCCTCTCCTATTTATTACACAGGTCATCTCCAGTGTCATGACCTAGATCCATTCCAGGGGCATCACTATGTAGAAAGTCCGATCCAGTGTCAGTATGCACTGTCTTTTAGAAAGTTCTCTCCTGTGTCCTTGCATACTGTTTTGTATGAAGGCCTTTTTTTAACTGCATTCTCTCTTGTAGAAAGTCCTCTCCTGTGTTTTGCATGTGACAATATTCTGATGAAGAGACCCATATAAGAGCTTTGCTATTGGTATTGTAATGATAGTCTCCTAAGTCAGTAGAAAGATAATAACTAGGGTAGGTAGAAGGAAAACAACCACCATTGAAAGAAAAATATAATTTGATGCACTGGATCACAACCCTGAAAAAATAATGCCAGATAATTCACTTTATAATAGTGTCAGAAATGGAAAAGCTTATGTGACGAAGTCCTCTTAATCAGTTATAATGCCAGGTGTCGCACATGAAAGGGTCCAACTCTGTTCTAGAGGATGAAGGTGCAGATAGGTAACAGAATAGCTAATGACCAGACATTATTTGTATTGATGGTGCTTTAGTTTTTACTAAACTTACTTTACTGTGCTGAACACTATTTACTGTGTGAACATTTATACTGGTTGGTGGGCAATCCTCTGGAATACTAAGCTTCACCTTTTCAAGTCTGATGCATTCATCTTCAGGTGGTCTGAGCTTTGGAAAAGACCTGTGTTTTGGAGAGGTTCCATCAAAATTCTGTCTCCACTGGGACTATGTTGCAGAACTCTTCTTACTCTCTCTAACCTAAAAACTCACAGAAATATGCAGGATCAGTTCGGAAACTGGACATATAGATATGTAATCACGTCATAATCCAGCAGATTACAGAACTGGCAGGTTCTGGCTGTTTTTGTTCTCCCAATAGGAAGTGACAAACTAGGGGTGTTTTCTTCAGTGTCTGAGTGCATCTGCTTTAGAAGTGAGAAACCAACAGTTTGCATACAAATAAACTAGATCCGTAAAACGGATGTGCATACCAAACTCAAGTTCTGAAACCAGATCAAAGCTGAAGTTAACAGCCAGTGAATGCAAAGGAAAATAAAAGGCCTGTTGTGATAATATTTCATCCACAGGTTTTAGACATTTATTTGTCAACAGACTTTAACTGAATGCCAAGAGGTAAAATCTGTTTCAACACCACCATCTAAAATCCCGGTTATAATCTAGCATTTGAAATAATTGTGGTTTTAATTATAAATAACATTTTAGAAAACTAATAGTTGCTAGATTTACAACACCAGCCAAATAATAGAGTTGCTAATTGTGAATGTTTAATACACGCAGGTTGAGGAATCAGGAGAGCACATCATACTGGGAACTGGTGAACTCTATCTGGACTGTGTCATGCATGACTTACGAAAAATGTACTCTGAAATAGGTAAGCTTAAGATCCTTGTCTTACCTGGTGCTTCTGTTAAGGTTGTTAGGTCATATATTCACTTCCCTTTTGTTTGTTGCAAATTTTTTTCTCTCATAAGTAGAAGTGGGTCCTTTTTTTCCACGCTATTTGTGCTTATAAAACTTCAGGACATGTTAAATTATGCTATTTCCATAATTTTGTACCAGTCAGCATTTACTGGGTGATGAGTTCATAAAAATTATAATCTGTTGACATTGAATTGAAACAGAGTTACCCCTATCTTCGTAGTGCTGCCGGGTTCAATCCCAGTTGCAGGCGATTTTTATTGCAATGGTTTTTTTTAGTGGTACAGAGAGCTGACCGTTCAGCAGCAATGGCAAACTACTGAAATTAAAATTTGCCTAAAAAAGCACAACAGCCACAAATTGCTGAGATTGATTCTGCAGCATTCTGTAAAGATACACAACTAACTTTTTACTGCTATCTAAATTTTTTTCATTTCTGATTTTGGTTAGCTGTCAGGTGAGCCATGAAACAAGTTTCTCTGTTTTGATGGGCCGCAGGTGTAAACAGTGTGAGGAACACTGGTCTCTACTTGTGATACCACCAGTTCCATGTCATTAGTTTATTATAGACACTTCTCACTGTGAATATATTGTTTGAGTTCTATGTCATTAGTTTATTATAGACACTTCTCACAGTGAATATATTGTTTCAGTTCTATGTCATTAGTTTATTATAGACACTTCTCACTGTGAATATATTGTTTCAGTTCTATGTTATTAGTTTATTATAGACACTTCTCACTGTGAATATATTGTTTCAGTTATATCCCTATGTATGGAGTGACTAAGATATCTTCATACAGCGGATTTATTTATCAGTTGAGATTGTATTTTATCCTGCCTGATAGATGTACAGGATGTGCTGAATCCAAAACTACTTCATTTATTGGAAGTCATTTGCATGGAGGTTTGGGTTCAGACGATGATGAAGAATTTTGTAGTACCAACATACTTGTAACTGTATTTTCAGATATCAAGGTTGCAGATCCAGTAGTAAGTTTCTGTGAGACAGTTGTGGAAACTTCATCTCTCAAATGTTTTGCTGAAACTCCAAATAAGAAGTAAGTCATTTTTAATCTGTTATTTGTGTGTGTGAATTTAAAAATATTCAATACAGTCAGTTGCTAACAGGAAATTCAGATCATTAAGTTATGCCAAATTAAATCCAGGATGTTGCCACGAAGGCAGCTGGATGTAGTGAAGAATCAGAAGAAAGCCACCAAGGATGAGATGAAAAGAAGAAATAAATTGGAATTGGTGGAATTGAATAATGAAGACTGTCACAGTTTTACAGGGGATAAGATGAGAAGTGAAGCAGATTGTGCAAAGAGTTGCCCGTGGTTAAAATTTAGATAATGGGGGGAGATTATTTTGCCTTTCCTCTTCCAGTAGAACATTAACCCACAACTGACTGTGTGAAGTCCCTGGTAGACTTGTTCTGATTGATTGGATTGTGCAACTATAGTGTTTGATAGGATGAGGTAGTCGGCCATATGCCAACTCTCCTTATTTACTTTCTCTGGCATTCGTGGTAGATTACAGTGTTATTGTGTATGCCTTATGGGTTCCGGTAACCCATGGATATCTGCCATAAGTTTATGAGGTAAGCACATTGTACTCTGTGGAAGCAGATTGAATGATTTTAATTTGTGTATTTGGTAACAGTTTACTTATTTGTCATGGAAATTTATGTCTGCTGTTGCTGTCCATTTATGTATCTGCCAGTGGTGTCCATTTATATATCTGTCATTTTCCGATTATTTATTTTTCATTGTCCACCAGGAACAAGTTGACTATGATTGCTGAGCCTTTAGAGAAAGGATTGGCAGAGGACATTGAGAATGAAGTTGTTCAGATTACCTGGCCAAGGAAAAAACTGGGTGAATTTTTTCAGACAAAATATGACTGGGACTTGTTGGCTGCTCGTTCTATTTGGGCTTTCGGACCAGACGCTTCAGGGCCAAATATTTTGGTTGATGATACCCTGCCATCTGAGGTAAGATACCTTTGTTGATATTGTTTCGAAAAGCCGAAAATATGTGATGAAATGGGATAGTTTGTTGTTGTTCAGAAGTTGTAAACATTTGATGGCATGGGATAGTTTGGGAGATTCAGATAAAAGTATGCAGTTTTTTCTCCGTGGGTTCTGAGGACCTATTATTGGGGGGGGGGGGGGGGGGGGGGGGGGGGGGAGGATATACTTACTGCCCCCCCCCCAGATTGTTTTCCACCAATTTTATCCCATATGGCTCAGTCTCTCTTTGCAGAACAGCCAGCTGCCTGCCGAGAGCATTGCACTGAGCACGACCTCTGTAGCTCTGCTGATGATCCTTGGGGATCATAGAAGAAGTAGACTAATTAGAGGTGTTTTCCTTCAAAGTCAGAGTGCATCTGCCTGAGCGGGGAGGAACCAACAGTCAGCATACAAATAACCAGATCTTGTAAAACAAATGTGCAAGCACAGTTTAGGTTGTGGAAGAAGATTAAAGTCGAGAAGTGGATGAACAGCCAGAACTTTCACCTTAAGTTTACAATCAGTGAACATCAGGAAGAAGAAAATGAGAATTTTAGAATGTTTCAAAGTCTTACCTGCACTGCACATTTCTTCTTTGGCCTTTCAGCTGCCAATGGAGTGTAGGCATTTACCTGGCTCACACTTAGCCTTTGATGACCAGTTAATGATTGGTTGGATTTGCAGCTGAAGGTTTCTGTAGGATGAAATAGCCAGTCTCTGATACAGCACTCAGATGAAAAATCAAACTAAAGAGAGTAAAAGAGACCATGGGAATGTTAATTGTTGAAGTGAACACCATTATTCTATTACTTTATGGTCTTTATATGTTTCTGAGCGCACTTAAATCTGGTAATTTTTTTCTTCTTCTCTTCCACCTTGTACCTCAGTGAAGTATCGGGGAGAGATGTAACGTTCGTTGATGAGCTCTCATTTTTGTAAGGCTGTTCTTATTGCCATCACTCCCTATTTTCCTAGGTCTCTCTCTCTCTCTCTCTCTCTCTCTCTCTCTCTCTCTCTCTCTCTCTCTCTCTCTCTCTCTCTCTCCCCCTCCCTCCCTCCCTCTCTCTCTCTCTCTCTCAGAGAGGGAGGGAGGGGGAAAGTCAATAAATTAGTCACAAAGGATTATAGTATGGATTATAGTATGGCAGGAAAATGTAGTTAGTGGTATCTAAAGGTGTCATTAGGAGACAGCAACATCCGACTTTATGTCACCATTTGTTAGGTGGTGCTAGGTGTTGCATGCACATTTGCAACACAGAAACAAAATTGTGACTGTACTTACGGAGTGTAACCTCAAAGAAGAAAGTGCTGTTGTTTGTTTTTTGGGGCAAAAGGACTTTCTGCAAAGGACATTCATAAGGAAATGCTTCCTGTTTATGCTGAAATATGTTTATCCAGTAACATTCTGTGATGCCTCATGATGCAATTCAAAAACATTCAGGCCTGCTGACTAGATAAGTACTGCCCCTTCATGACAATGCCAGACTGCATATGGCTCGGTTAACTCAGGAATAAATTAACCATCTAGGGTGGGTTCTTCTGGAACATCCACCTTACAACTCCGACTTAGCCTCTAGTGATTTCCACCTTTTTGGTTGACTGAAAATCCACCTAGGCGGGAGACATTTTGCGTTTGATGCAGAAGTTGAATGTGAAGTGAAAATGTGGTTTAGAAAACAGCACACAGTTCTATGCAGCAGGTTTGGGAGGATGATGGGGCAGGTGCATCAGTGTTGGTGGAAATTATATTGAAAAATAAAGGGGCTGTGTGTGTATGTGTACAATTAAATTGTGTTTTTTCCCTCAAAACAATAATTTGTGACTTATTTATTGACTTTTCCTTTTACATATTTGTGTGTATGAACTAACATGTTTACTCTTTTTTTTTGTGTGGGGACTTTTTTTTAACGGGAAACTTGTTTGTGTCCACTCAACAGGTTGATAAGAATCTGCTGGTGACTGTTAAAGACAGCATTGTGCAAGGTTTCCAATGGGCCACAAGAGAAGGACCTTTGTGTGATGAACGTATGTCCAAAATTGATCTATTTTCTTCTTCTTTTCATTCCCCCCTAGTGATGTAATTGACTGTGCCTGTTCACAGCAAAGTTGCAAAAATTTGCGCCTTTTGGCTGACACATCCAGCTTCATCGGGCATTTGTTCAGTTGGTTAGCCTCAACAGGCAATGTAGAGAAGAGAATCCTGTTGCTGTTAATGCAGAGGTCAACGCTCTCATCGGTGAAAATTCAGACGAAGCAGATGCAATAATCTATACAGACGGATCCGTTATACGCCAAAGAAGAAGCGCATGGGCATTTACAGCACGCTCAGCGGGAAGAACAGTCAAAGAAGCCAACGGCGCCTTCTCCATGACAACCAGCAGCATGACGATGGAGGTGATGGCAGTGACGCAAGCGCTTGCCTGGCTTGAAACACAAAAATACACCCGCGTGTGTATACTCAGTGATTCAATGAGTATGATCCGGAGGGTTCAGGCAGGTTCAGTGTGAAGACAATGGCTTGAATCATTACAGAAGTCCATTGTGCGTGGAGTCCCCTTTATTTTTGTTCCGGGACACGCAGGCGTCGATGGAAATGAAAGAGCTGACAGGTTGGCTGGATCTGCTATCACTACCGACGGTCAGCCTATGGATCATGCTGATATTATCAATGCCCTCAGAGAAATGGGAAGGATAGAGGACTTTGGTGGCAGTGAATCCACATCACTCGTCAGAATGGCAGACTTGGGAATTAAGATCGGCACAGCAAAAAATGAGACGCACACCAGACACGCCAGAAGACTTGTTAATCAACATAGAACTGGTACTATTAGCCATCGGACGTTGGGGTTTATACTGAGGGGAGGATCTGAGGACCTATGGACATGTCCGGAGTGCAATGAGGATAACCCAACTAACTAACTAACTAACTTGCATAAATGCAGAGCTGACACGATGTTCTGGTCCTGGGCTTACCCAAGGAATTGTCACATCCTGCACACGACTGCTTCACCGCACTTTACAAGCCTCTAGTGAGCGAGCAGTTTATCCCAAGCTGTCACGAGCTCCCGTTTTGTATATTGTGACCTTAAACTACGTAAGGCCTAAGACTTTCTGGGAGTCAGAGTGGCATCTGCTGCCCCAGAGATCATGGGTTTGAATCTACACAGAGTCGGATTTTTTGTTTAAGAAATGACCTTGGCTCCCAGGTTGACCAAATTAAAATATATGCCAGGTAAAGTCCTGGAAAGTAAAGGTGGCCAGTGGGATGTGGACTCCATCACCCATTGAGTACTGAGTGGTCTACAAAAATTTGTCTCCCACCAAATGCCTGATACACCACAGGCATAAAATGAGTCCTATACTTTTTTAACGATAAAACATGCAGACTTTTAAATTAGGTTGCATCTGGTACTATTATCATGTCAACTTTTCGTTGGCTACTGGTAAAGGAGACATATTTGGTAATGTCCCAGCGCAGGGAAGTCAGTTTTTAATTAATTCACCCAAATAGTGTCCTACTGTTTTGATGTGTGTGTGTATATTCCTAATTTTTTTTTTGGCAAAAGGGATGTATTGACTTTCCAAGGGGAGTTAAGTGATTGATCAGGGACTTTTACTCATCATTATTGGATAACAAGCTGATGTTCTGTTGTTAGTTATGGAAGGAAAGGGCATTTAGGGAGTTAGTTCACCTACTTGTTAATTTTAGAGAAACCTAGTGGATGTAATTTCCTTTGCAAATAGCACATTAATGGCAGTAATTAATCTGCAGGGAGGTATCATTGTATTTGTTCATTCATTCAGTAGCATGTCCCTCGCGGAACCTCGCTGCCATAACAACCCTCCGGAAAACCTTCCTATCATGAGCAAGATGTCCTGCGTCTGATACACCCATCTGGAGATCATCTGCCACATCCTGCGCCCATCTTCTCCTTGGCCTTCCTCTTCCTCTCTTCCCAGGCATATACCCCTCCATTATTGTTCTCTCTAGACTTCCATGACGTTTCAAGTGACCAAAATATTTCAATTTTCTTTGTTTTATTGTCTTTACTAGCCAACCCTCTTCAATATTCAGCTCTTGAAGTATGGATGCATTTGTTCTTTTCTTTACCCAAGATATTCTTAGAACCTGTCTGTAACATTTATATTCAAATGCATTTATGCGCTGTTCCGCTTGTTTAGTAAGTGTCCAGGTCTCACAGGCGTATGTTGCAATGGGAAAGATGCATGCTCTTAAAAATCTGACCTTTGTAATTCTATCTGTACAATTCCATAATTTATTCAGTTGTTTTAGTCTTTGAAGAGCAATTGATAGTCGTCGTTTAATTTCTTTCATTGTGTCACCATTGTTGGTAACCAGTGACCCAAGATATTCGAAATTTTCCACCACTTCCAATCTTTCTTTATTAACATATATTTCCTTCTCCATGGCAGTTTTGTTTGTATGCATTATCTTTGTTTTTGCTATGTTAAGAAATAAGTTATGATTTTCACTATTTCTTTGGAGTGAGGTTAATAAGTTTTCTAAACCACTTTGTGATGTTGATAGTAATACTGTTGATAGTAATACTGTACCTCCTTTAAAGTTTTTGTATTTGTTATATAGAGTAAATGTTTTGAATGACCTTGTAAAACTCTGTATATAACTTTACCTTCATACAGCTATCAGGAATGTGAAATTCAAGATCCTGGATGCTACCATAGCCCAAGAACCTATTCACAGAGGAGGTGGCCAGATTATCCCAACTGCTAGAAGAGTCGCCTACTCGGCCTTTCTTATGGTAACCTATGTTTATATAGCCTGATATTTGTAAATCCATTTTTTTCTTAACAAATAGGTTTGCTCAGTTGTAGATGATGCCAAGCCAATGGCATCAACAAGAACAGTTATTTATAGTTCTTGATATTATCATGGTTTTTTTCCTGAAATGAAACCGGTTGTTGTTATATTCATCATTCTAGTTCTCAGCAGATGTGCCTAAGTCAGACACAAATGTGCAGATTTTGTTTTTAAAACTCTTGTACTGATAGAACCTCCTTTAAAGTTTTTGCTTCGGCATTGATGTTATTGCAATGTTTGCTAGTGGTTATTGCATCCAGGTACATGCTTGCTTCTAGACATTTCCTTTGTTTAATTTGACCACACCTGCTAATGTACCATTAGTATGTTTGTAGTAAAGCTATTAGGATAGGTTTAATTTTAATCATACCTCACAGATTCCAGTTTTTAAGGTATAAAGCTTGATGTACAAGATAGTTGTGTTCAGTATTTGTAAAATAATCTTGAAAGAAGTTTAAAGGGAATTTACAATTTTATATTACATTGTCATTTTTTGTCACAATATGATAAGTCTAGAAACTATGATGTTTGATGAACATGTCATTATGGAGCCTTTAGGCTCTGAAGTTTTAAAAACATGTCACATTTTGGGGCATAATTGCTATGAATCTAAAAAATTTTTTTGTTAAATTACGGGTCCCAAATATTACAAAGTTTTACAAACTTGTCACATTATGGGGCAAAAATGCTGTTACATTGGTGATAACTTGATGTCTCTGTTACATGAATGGTAACTTGATGTGTCTTTTACATGAATGGTAACTTAATGTGTCTGTTAAATTGATGATAACTTGATGCTTTTGTTACAGGCAACCCCCAGGATGATGGAGCCATACTTGTTTGTCCAAGTGATGGCACCTGCTGATTGTGTTTCTGCTGTTTATACCGTGCTTGCTAAACGAAGGTGATTTTCTCTAATGTATTTGATAGTAGATAAAGGTTTCACAAACTCCCTAGCACCCGCGGACACTTCTTTATTTTTTTAAGGTCTGCCTGGGACCCCATATTTCTTTATGGTCATATATTGACTTTGAAGAGTTTGGGGGAGTTTGAGACAATTCGAGAATTATCATGAAAAGATATCAAGCCAGATGAAAAGTAGAACCAGTCAGCTTCACAATGTCACAAACAGGTAGAAAAGTCAGCTTCACATTATCACAAATACAAACGACTATTGAAGGCTGCGGCTAAAGAGACTTCATCAGCACATTACATAAATCTACAATACCACAAATATGAACATGAGTACACACAATCTTAAGTGATGTATTTGTGATAGAAATCATACTTTCTCTCTGGCTCAAAGCTTATCTGTTATGTAAGCTCACCACTAGAGTTCAGTAGAGGCTGAGGCTGTTCGAAACAGTTCTCAAAATGTATACCCTCATCAAGAGATGGCTGATGATGTTATGTTTTCATCGGCATCGGCCCAAGCGGCAAGGAACAAACAATTGCACACAGATAAGCCAGTAAAACGGATGTACTCAGAGAACTCACTGTCCCCTAAAAAGCAAGTCATAAGAGTAACTAATTAGGCATATTTTCTTTGAAGTCAGAGTGCATCTGCCCAATTGTGCATAGAACAAATGTGCACAAAAAGCTTATGTTCTGGAACAAGACGAACAATTGATAAACAGCTAGAACTTTCCGCCGGTGAACACAAGGAAGAAGAAGAATAAAAAAGAAAAACCATAAGGTAGTTACTAGTTCTGTATTGAAGATATTTTTTCTTGTAATCAAAAAATAACTGATCCTTGAACTCTATTCTCACAGAGGTCATGTCACCCAGGATGCACCAGTACCAGGCTCCCCACTGTACACAATCAAGGCTTTCTTGCCAGCCATAGACTCATTCGGGTTTGAGACAGATCTGAGAACTCACACCCAAGGCCAGGCATTTTGTCTGTCTGTGTTCCACCATTGGCAGGTAGTTACCGATTCTAGCTAGTTCTTGGTACCCTTAGTGAAATATCATTGCATACTCTGGTTGTTTGTTATAATGCACTCTGCACTCTTTTATACTGTGTTTGCAAATTGTCCAGTGTTATGTATACTCAACTTTGCTGCATGGTGCTGTGACCTGGACAGTGAACCAGCAATTCAAAAATCTTAACTTGTCTGGAAATGGGAACTAACAAATACAGAAGGTCTGAAAAGAATGAAATGAAAGTTCCTGCCAGAAAAAAAAAAAAAGGTAAAGGAAATATTTTGGGGCATATTCAAAGACGTAACACTTATAAAAACTATACTGGAAAGAAAAGTTGAAGAAGCAAGCAAGAGGTAGACATTGATACAAATGGGAGGATAATTTCAAGAAATGAACAAACAGCAGTGTGAGAGAGTGCACATCTAGAGTGAAAGACAGCATCTTATAAATACATTTTAGCCAGCCTTCATTGTGGAGATGGCACCTGATTGATTGATGTTGTATTTATTACTTTACTCATATTTTGTGATGGGTGAAGACATTACAGAATATTGTAATATTTATATAATTGTTATATTTGTTGTTGAGATATGTAGTATTAGTTATAAGATTGTTTATAAGATTGTTTTTTTTTTCTGCTATGTTACTTCTATAAAGCATCATTATATTCTCTTACTGGATTGATTGTTCTGCTGTCCTTTGGCAGATAATACAAGTGCAGAAATGTTTTGTTTAAATCTTTTGTTTGTGGTATCACCCTCCAAGTGCCCTTTGGTCTACAAAATATAGGTCTAGCCCTATATACCCAATATGCCTGAAAGGCGTGGAAAAGGGTCCTTTACTTTACTTTTATGTTTGTGGTATATATAAAGATCTCAGCTTTAGACCATCACATCAGGATATGATTTATTTACTTCTTCTGCCTTTCTAGTCCCCAGTGGAGCATAGGCCCTCATCCAACTCACGCCAAGTCATTCTATCCTTCGCTATAGCATGCAGCTCTCCCCATGTCTAACCCATTTTTTAACTTCACTCTCTAGCTTCCTTCTCCATGTGTTTTCTGGTCTTCCTTTATTTCTATGCCCCTGTGAGTTCCAGTGCAAAGACATTCTGGTTATATTGTTCTCAGATTTTTTTCAACGTTTGTCCTATCCAACGCCAGCATCTTTTCTTCACCTCTTGGTCCAGTGGAACTTGTTTAGTTCTCTCCCAGAGCTCTACATCAGTGATTCTATCATAGCATTCAATTCCCTCTACTCTGCCCAGGTTTACATACTGCTAGGTATTAAAGTGTCATGGTAAGGTGCCTGTTAGATGTATTTAATTATATCCTCACTGGTTTTTTTTCCCCTCTATCTCTAGATTGTTCCTGGAGATCCCCTGGACAAGTCTCTGCATATTCGCCCTCTGGAAGCACAGCCTGCTAACTATTTGGCCAGAGAGTTCATGATCAAAACACGCAGAAGAAAGGTAGGATAGACGTAGCTGGCTTAACTGATTTTTATTCTTATGTTACTTCATATGTTGAATTAAGAATCAACGTCACAGCAATCAGGACACTCCCATAAGTGCTCCGTTCCCTATCCTTACCAGCAAGTGAAGAATTCCAGCTCTGTTGGAACCAGTTACCTGTCTGGTTGTATATCCGTCTTGCCTTTCCCTTGAGCGTTGAGCATCGACCAGATCCCCTGGTAACTCCCCACAGCGCCATACTCCTCACTCTGTAATGATCTGTTTGTGCCTCTGCACTGTTCACCCGCTCCTAAAGGGCCCTAACAAAGTGTTACTTCATAACCAACATAGAAGTCTAATAACATTGCCTGTGATTGGGTCACCTGTTGCTGTTGACTGAGCATAAAATCTGCCTGTCAGTCAGATGCAATGGATTTAATATGTGCATGTTCGAGACCCATCTAGTAAGCCAAGTTCTGTCAGGGTTCGTAGTGAACCGGGAAATCGGGAAATTACCGGGATTTTTTTCATTGACCTTAAACCGGGATTTTTAGCTTATAAAAGACATTCCCACCTTGAAAAGCCGTGAATTTTGACCGCGGCAGGCAATGAAATCGTCAGAAATCCTGTGTTTTTCAAGCACAGGCAATTTTGGGGGAGCCATTTGGCTTTTTTGGCCATTTGGCTAGTTTTTGGCTACTTTCGTTGTATGGTCGTTTCAGGTGTGAGGGCAGCTGATTATTGGCTATTTTCAGCCGAAATGGCTTGTTAAAGGCCAGGGGAGGGCGGGCTTTGTTACAGATCATGAATACATGCAGACAGCAGCAGTGTGGCATGGGGCGGGAAGGAGCAGCTTCCGTCTCGCGCGCGCGCGTGTGTGTGTGTGTGTGTGTGTGTGTGTGCCTTTGTTTCTAGCAAGTCGGGCAGAATGAACAGTTTAAATCGTTTATGGCCGTGGTTTCTAGAAAGGATTACATTGGGAGATGGTGGGGCGGTTCAGTTGTATTTATAAATAGAGTCGCCGTGGTGGGGCTAAGCACAGCCTTCTCTATTAATTAGAGATGGCATTGGGGCTAAGAAAAGTGACTGCAGCTGGATTTCCCAGTTCTATTTTTGGCCTGGATTTATCTTTACAGTGTGTTTGGCGATCAGTATTGTAATTCCCCGAGATTCCCTCTTCTGTTGTCTCACCCCTCTCTCTCTCTTCCCTCCCTCTTTCACTCTTCTACCTATTGCTCCTTCCTTCCCGTCTCCTGCATTGTCTCTAACCCTCCCTTCTGATCTTCATCTTCTTCTCTTTCTCTCTATCTTTCCTTTTACTCTCTCATTTCCTGTCCCCCCTCCCCCTTTTTCCTATTTTATTTCTTGTTTAAATGTTTAATAAATGTGCGGCTCCATAACTCTTCCTAGCAACTCAAGTACACAGGAAGTTGTATTGGGGGGGGGGGGGCATTCTGTGTGAACATGGTGGATATTTTCTTTTGATGTTTTTGTTTTCCTAGCGGCCTTAATCTCTGTCCATCTCCCTTCCCGCCCCCTCACATTTTGTCCTACCTGTTCCTCACTCTCTGCCTGTCTGTGTCACTGCTTTCTTCTTTCTCTTTGTATTTGTCATTCTCTCTCTCTCTCTCTCTCTCTCTCTCTCTCTCTCTCTCTCTTTCTCCATACCTTCAGTTGGTGTAGAAGGTTATGTGTTGCCTAGTGCAGAACATTTCATGTCCACCATTCCCCCTCCCACACATTAAATATATGTGTACTTTTAAAAACATTTGCCGTCACCCCCCCCCCCCCCCCTTTTTTTTTCTCCTCCCACATTGATGACACCTAGGGGAGGGAGTGCACCCCTTCCTGCTACCTTCTTCCCTCTTTATCTCATCTTATTTCTTACTCCCTTCTTTCTCTCCCTGTCTCATTCCCACTTTATTTTCTAAAACTTTATTCTCTCACCTCCTCTGTCTCACCCTTACCACCTCAGCCTTCTACACCACTTTCCACCACCTCCTCTCTCCCCTCCTTTCTGTAATTGGAAAACCAGAAATAAAACGAAGTCCACTGCTGCCCTGACCTATTTATGTGTCTGACCTATTTATGTGTGTGGGTAAACTTCTCTATTTTTCACCAGTGGTGGGTTGGGATCCCCTGGACTTTTATTTTCTTCATAAAATGACCTTGGCTCTCAGGTCACCAGCCTTAAGTGTAAGAAATTGAATTATTGTTGTCACACACAGATAGGACAAGCAAGGGGCAGTAGGGGTTACACTGTTGTTTTTGGACCACGGCCACATTCACATTGGGAGAGGGTAGGAACCGGAAAAGTGGCCTCACTTAGAGATTTTCTAATTCTATTTTTGGCACTCATTGTTCTTACACCCCCCCCCCCTCCCACCCCCACAACCTGTCTTACCTTTCTTCTCTCACCCCTTCTCTTTCCTTTGATCTTCTACTATTCTCCTTTCTCTCTCCATTCTTCCTTTCCTTGCCCTTTCTCCTGTCCCATCTCTACTTTGTCTCCTCTCCGTCCTGTCTTTTCATTTTCTCTAGATTTCTTTACCCGCTCCCCTCTCTCATTCTCTCCCCCCCCCCCATCATTTTTTTTACTGGTTCATCTACATATTTTTTTGCCACATAACTATCTTTTCCTAGTGGTTGTGTCCACTACACTTGAAATTGTGTGTGTGGGGGGGGGGGGGGGGGGGAAAGAGGTAGGTGGCTGTTTTTTTTTTCCTTTGATGTATCTTGTCTCCCTTCCTGCCCCTCTCTCTTA